TCATTTGGGTCAGGGTCATGAAATTTCAAGGGTAGGTGTAAAATTGATCAACGCGAGGACACTACTGAAAGTTTCGTCGTGATCGGCCGCTTTTTACGCGAGTCATTCGCGAAAAACCGAGGGGGGGTCCGTTCGACCCCCCCCCTCCCCCAATGCATACGGGCGAGGGTTAGAGCTCTGGGCACCCCCAACCATTTTCACAAATCGACACCCCTGTGTCAGGGGCACCTGCGGCCTAGCAGGGGCACCACAGGCCCGCCAGGGGCAACACACACGATTTTTTTTTAATAAAAAAAAACTGAAAATAGGGGCACCATCAAAATGAAGTGGCCGAAATCCGTTGAGTTTTTAATTTTGGGTATAGGTAGGGGCACCACTTCGATTCATGGCCCCTCCCTTGGAGTTTTCCTGGATCCGCCACTGGCCTATAGAACTGGTTTTAACCACTTTAACTATTGACAACAAGCCTTCGGGTATAGGAGAATGGTTAGCCGTTTGTTTACATCGGTGACCTTGAAAGATGACGTCAGCGGGTGCCTGCCAATCTTCGCCAATATTTATCTTCGAGGATTTTCTCCTCTAAGGCAGTTTGATATTAACTGTTGGGCTCCCTTAGAGCATAAAAAAGATTATTTACTGCACAGCAATGTCTTAAAAATCGACAAAACCTTGACACCCCGTGACGTCATCTGTCTCCTGAGCCGTCCCTACGTGTTATGAGTTTATCGGTGGAGCCAACAAATAACTAAATGCACTTACTTTTATTGACGTTTCGGTTTCAAACAACCTTCGTCAGAATAGAATTACAAGTTGAAATATAAATATGCGTCTCAAATGCACATATTTCAAACACACTCGTTTATGTGTTTGAAATATGTGCATTTGAGACGTATATTTAACTTGTAGTTCTATTCTGACGAAGGTTGTTTGAAACCGAAACGTCAATAAAAGTAAGTGCATTTAGTTATTTGTTGGCTCCACCGATAACCTCATAACACAAATATGTCCCCAAGTCCCTAAATAATCAGCGTCCCTACGTGACCTGCCGGCTCTGATTTCGCTCAGTTTTCACGGTGAAAAATCTGGGTCTCAGGCACGTGCTCTCTGCTCGGCACCGGCCGCGGCCCAAAATGTCGCAAAGATGCGCCCGCCACGTGCAAACCGCTGAACGCACCCCTTCAAAAAGCTGACATGACAAATGGTTGCATGCGTCTGACTTGGTGCGAAAATTTCACCCCAGTAGCCCGCACCGTCACCGAGCAATAGCCCGCCAAAGGGAACTAAATCTTGCGCAGTCGGCGTCAACAGCGGCAGAAAAAGCTTCCATGATCCAACTTTTCCGCCACTAAATTAAGAGCGTAAAATAAGCGATGAAAAGATAACATGCCGAAACACGTTGTCGGCGGCTGGGCCGTTTCGGCGTCTACAGATTCTGCTCCTACCATTGCCTCTGTAGTTAAAGGGACAGTATCACCATTTTGATGAAATTTGACATTGCATAGGCCCCACCTTTCTGGTCCGGAAACTGAAGACCGATCCTCGAAACTCCACACCGTTATCCCGCTATCGCCGCTCAAAGTACGAAAGGTGTACCACACTTTGAATCGTGCTTCACTATCTTCACTGTTTAAATGTTTGCGCCATTTTGAATTGACCGCCAGTAATAAAACTTTTACCCTGGTCATTTCATCAAATTTTATAAAGCCAAAATGTTTTTCGCACTTATTCATCACCGTTAAATTCATTAAATAGTCGTAGGCAATTTCCGCTGTTTCCTTCGGATTCTAGCGGCTCAACAAAGGAATTCCTCTAGCTTGAATCACAATCTCCCTCCAATGTATGACGTTTATCACGTGATTGTCACGTGATATTTTCTCCCATTGTCAATTGTCACGTCCAATTGTCACTCCCTCCAATTGTCACGTGATATTTTTATAGGCAATACCTAAGGCTACCTCTCCCTAAGGACAACTCAATCAGAAGAACGACCGCGTAAGCGTAGCGTCAATAATGTATTATCTGCGCCAGTTCTGTAGTAATTTTGCATGCTTCCAAAATGGCGGCCATGCTTGTATAGTGGTGGTTCGCTCATGAAAATGAATCATGAAAATGAAATGTGGTTGCAATATTTTTCACCGAGTTCGGTCCTCAAACTATGTTTTTCTGATTCAGGAAAATAAGAAATGCTAGTAAAAAAAAAATCAGCTCCATACATTGATTTTTTTTTTCGATGATACTGTCCCTTTAACTCTGCCAGTAAGCGCTTATTTTTGGCGGATAAAAGTGCAGTGGACGGCGACCTTTACGCCATCAAGGTTTTCGCGAATATCTCAAAAACGGCGGCGCGACACCTTATCATAAATCTTTTCAACAAATGTAGTAAAAATTTCAGAGCCAGGTCACTTAACCCGCGCGGGGCTGGGGGGGAGGGGTAAATTTTATCCCCCTCGCGAATTTTTGCAATATCTCAAAAACGGCGGCGCGCAGCGCCGCCAAACTTTTAGTACTTTTTCTTACATCAATTTGAAACGTTCCCTGAAAATTTGAGCGAAATCCGTCGGAAAATTTTTGAGAAATTGACGTTTTAGTGACGTCATGTTCGCCATTTTCGCCTCAAAAACGGCAAAACTTCAAACGCCGCTAACATCTTCATTTTTAAAGGAATCAAGACGTAATAAAAAAGGTTTACGTCTTGCCAAACTCTTCGGGCATCACTTGAAGTGTTGTCAGTTATGGCCCACAAATGAGTCAAAAGTCTGTTCAACCACTCTTTAGCCACCTTTCTGTAAACTGATCACATTGAAGCTGGTAGCTTTTACCTTTGGGTTTCAATCTATCTTGGGATCTACTGAAGCAAAATACATGGACGTAAATACCTCGCCGCCGAGAGCATTTCCTGTGCCGTTTTCCGTCTACACACGACGGTTCGTTGGGCAATAAAATTGCCTTTGCCCTCTCTTCACTAGCAGTGGCGCACCATCGGCCGAAAAACCCTCCGAAAGGTGCAGCCTGATGGTTTACTGTTGGATATTCATGATGCTGGTCACAAAACTGCTCGTTTACCCGAGCCTTTTCATCTACTGTCGCTTTGGTAAATAGTGTTTCCCGGAATAGGGCGATTGTTTACTGTGTGATTGGATTAACGTTCGAAATATCCGGTTACAAAATGACCAGACTGGCTTTTGAATAACAGCACAGCAAGAACCAAAGTGAAATACGCTCAGAGGTGTTTTGTTCATTGGTCTAATCATGCTGCTCCTAGTCATAAAACAGGGCACGTTGAGTGTTTTATTTTGCTGTTCCGTTATCATACGGACGGGCAGTACCGGATCAACGTGACCTTTGTGTAATCTGCAACTGCGGCTCAATGCCCCATGAAGTGGCCTATACCGAAAACAACGATAGGCGCTGACGCAAGATGTGCTAGAACCTATGTATCATCATAGATATCTGTACACCGGTGTAGAGAGGTCCAAGGTACAAACCATATGTTCATATGCCTACCATCCTTAACCCGGCCGGGCCCGGGGGGTAATCCCAACCACCGCAGCCCGGGGGGGGGGCGTTTTTCGCCCCCCTCCCCCTGTCTAACTCCGTAAATAAGGGAGCTACGGAAACAAAAGCGATACCAAACGAAAGGTCCTTACCAGACGATTCTAAAGCACCTAAAATTTTTGACCTCAGGTCAATTTTCAAGGTCAGAGGTCAAGGTCAAAGGCAAAAACCGGCACATGTGTAGTGATCTCAAAGTAAGCCTTCTAGAGGATGGCAGGATGCATCAAACCGGCAAAATTGGGTATCAAACGAAAGAAGAGAATCTGAGGATTCCGAATATGTGCTCAAAATCAAAAGTCAAGGTCAAGGTCACGCTCAAAATTGACCTCAAACTTTGCACTTTTTCGTACATCTTGCTTGCTAACTTCCAAGACGTTTTGAAATGTTTGGAGGCTTATCAGTTCCCTATTTGTGGTTCATCTTACGATACAAGGCTGCCCAAAGGTCAAGGTCACAGAAGAGTATCCTTGCTAGAGGCTATTTCACTAATTCAAGTTAGTAATAATAAATAAGACAATTTTGCCATCCGGAAGCTCTAAATGAAGGCTTAGAGGAAAATGGATGCCAGATTCGTGATCAGCGAGTACAAATCCATCATAAACGACCTTTCATGTGTCAAGGTCAACCAAAGGTCATTTGAGGTCACATGAGGTCAACATAAAATTTGACCTTTTCCAAACAAAATATATATCATTCGACGCGGCTTGACACGGCGAATGCGATGGTACCACTGCCGTAGCTCTAGGACCATTTTTGTCGAAGTTATTTGCGAAAAACTAAAACCACATTTCGGGGTCGTTGACCTGACCTCTGACCTCAGGTCACCAAAACTATTTTTCTATTTTTCTCTAGGTCAAACGCTACACAACCGTGCTTGTAATTTGTCTTTATCTCTAAAATTCTATTTTTAGCAGCTATTTGAATTTCGCGTCTGTGACGCCGAAGTTTGCCTTGCAGGGGTCTAGAAAAATCGACCTTGTGACGTCATCAAGGGGGCTAGGTCAAAAATTTTTACTTCCGAAGATGTCAAATTGATGGGAGAAAAGGTACTGAAAGTTTCGCTTTCCTATCCCTAAGCGTTCGGGAGCTATCGCAAATATTCGCCAGCGGGGGCGAAAAACGCCCCCCCCCCCCGGGCCCGCGAGGGTTAATTCTTCGATACCTTCTTAGCAACTTCACGATTAGAGACTTTTTGCTCGAAATAGTGAGTGGTGCACGAAAAAGTTCAGGCTTACTTTTATAAAATCCTAAGCAATGGTGGTGAGAGTAAATGACTTGTCGGTAAACAGACCAATAAAATTGGCCAGCGTTTTTATTCGGCCTTCTCATTGGTTGTCAGTCAAAGTTTAGAGCTGGTATCCTAGCAACCACCGTCGGAACGTCGTAGCACTTACGCCAGCGGAGGCCTCCTAAGCACATTCAAACCCAAAGACTCTTCGTAACAGCATAGCTCACTGGCGTCCATAGAGGTACAGACTGCATAAACACACAACGCCATAAGAGCCAAAACCACCAACCAGTTAGGTATGGCTCCTTTAAATTTATTCATCTACCTACTTGTGTCATCCATCTGGGTAGAAAATCTGGCCGACGGAGCGATGGCGTTCCAACGAGTGAACATGGCATACACCGGAGAGCCAGCAACCACCGTTCTTGTGACCTCGGAGACGACCTGTGCAATTGAATGTAGGTCGGCAGAGTCGGGTGCGTGTGAAGGGTTCACGTACCACGCGAATGGTACCTGTGAGCTGTACAACACTGGAGGTGAGTGGAATGATCTACTGGGAACTTCTGACATTGCTTCGATGGGTTCAGTCAGGATCAGTATTTGAAATGGCTGTCAGTGCCACTTGTCAGCATGTGATAACTAATGATAACTTCTAACATTTAACAAAAGTCTGGGAACGCATGGGTAATGTGCGCCGACATACACCGCATTGCAGTTCTGGCTAGACGGTCTCGAGCAGCCGGCCAAAGTTCAAAGGTCATCTGGGTAAGGGTCATGAAATTTTTCAGTAAATGTAAAATTAATCGAGGGCACTAAATGTTTCGTCGCGTCGCGAGTTATTCGCGAAAAACCGAGAGGGCTCCATCCAAACACCTATCCTCCCCCCAACCCCACCCCTAAGTGCGACGGTTCATTATCTATCCAGTAGCGAAACCAATGGTATATTTCACTATGGAGGGATGGAATGTGAAGCAATATTTTGTCCTACCTATGTTGCCACTGCCGTCCCCTATTCTATCGACCTCTGCTTTTTACAGCGACACTGCAAACAGGAGCAGCTACCGCGGGGCGACAAACCTTCCGAAAAATACATCTGATTGCAGGTATTATTGACTTGTGCTCGTAAAACCTTTTTGATACTGAAACGGTCGTCAGTGTGAATATGTCCCATCTAAAGGTTTTATGGTTTTATCTTCAATAAGGTATTCATGGTCTTAATTCCTTCTCGGTTCGGCTATGCATTGCAAGTTTTTATTATCATACGGTATGGACGTCTCAGCATTCTTCGGAATGCTTGAGACGAGGTGTTAGTATCAGTAATGTTAGTAATCGGACTTTCGTCCCCGTCTCAAGTTGAGATGCTGGCTTCATAACGTTTCGGTCAGTTATCTTCTTCGGCCGGAGGAGTAACTGGCCGAAAAATAAAATGTTAAATTAACATCTCAACTTGAGACGGGGACGAAAGCTCGCAAACTAACATTAGTGACATCCTAGCAAATCTTAATTTGCCTGTTTTTGAAATGGATTCCATCGTCGTTATGCTATGTCGTTATGCACGGCTAATTATGAACGTTTCACTGGTCTGCAGGCGACTCCACCGTGCCATGCGCCTGTCCGGTCGGCTTCAGCCACTGTGCCGGCCGCTGTCTGATCCGACCCCCTCAGGAGCTCACCTTCACCGAAGCTAAAGCCGCCTGCGCCTCGCTGGGCGCCCACCTGGCCGTGCCCCGCTCTGCAGAGGAGAACCAGTGCGTTCTGACCATGGCGGCTGGAGCTGACGCCTGGATCGGACTGTCGGAGCATGGCGAGGACGGAGTGTTCGTGGCAGAGGACGGAGGAGAGCCCGTGTTCAACAATGCTTCGTTCTGGGCTAGTACAGAGCCCAATGATGACATAGCGTATAACTGCGTGCAGATGTATATTGATTCTCAGGGCTGGGATGATACCGAGTGCGGCTACCCCCAGGGATATGTGTGTCAGTCATGGAACAAACCCCTATGTGGCTAACCGTGGCCATTTGACTACTGTATCCTCGGCGTCATAACGTCACAGTTTAGGCATGGCTACAAGTACACTATGCGTTTTCTGCGTGCGTTTTTTTTGCGGGTTTGCGTTTTTTGCGTAACATCATCCTAGAATAAAAAAAACGATATTACATTTTTGTGATATAATTTTATGCTAACTTTTAACTATTATAAGAGTTATATTAACTTTTAAATAAAACTGATATAAAAGTCAAATTAATTATAACTTTTTTTCTAGAACGATATTACGCAAAACACGCAAACCCGGAAAAACGCACGCAAAAAAACGCATAGTGTAGCCTGGCCCTTAAGGCCTGGCTACACTATGCGTTTTCTTCGTGCGTTTTTTGCGTGTTTGCGTGTTTGCGTGTTTGCGTGATATCGTTCTAGAAAAAAGAACGATATTACGTTTTTGTGATGTTTTTCACCTAAAATTTTAGTTACATAAGAGTTATATTAGCTTTTGTATATAACTAAAGTAAAAATTATATTGTTTATAACTTTTTTCCTAGAACGATATTACGCAAAACACGCAAACCTGCAAAAACGCACGCAGAAAACGCATAGTGTAGCCAGGCCTTTACACTGTTAACACACATCCTTATAGCGTCACAAGTACGTAAGAAAATTTTGGGGGTGCTCAAGAGAGATGGAAACGAAATGTGATGCATTTTATCTGTTGTGAGTGAGTAACGGGGAGACCGACTGACCGGCGGCCAATGGGACGGCCTGGCCTGCCGGGTGTCAGTGTAGCGTCTCGCTCTGTGGGGAGTCTGTCCCGGGCCGGCGCGGCGGTGGCGCGTCTCGCTGTGGGGTCTGTCCGAGCGGCCAGGTCACCCTTACCACTCCTCCGGCCGAGACGGGTCCGTCTGGCTAGAGGTTCGGAGCGGTGTGCACGTGGAGTGAATACGCTGATAACTACACTGTCCTATGTAGAAAATATACAGGTTCAGTTGATGTTAATTTGTGATTTTACTAGGGCGCGTAGACCTCTTCAGAGGTCATTGACGGCCAAAAAGTCAAACTAAAAAAGTAAGATTAGTGTTTGAGCTTGTTTAAAAGGACCATAGGATTACATACAAGAATACCAACCGCGAATAGTTACACGTCGCACCTTTGTCACGCTTCCTCAGTTCGTTATAAAAGCATAGTTGCGCATCGTATACGAGTACAATGCTGTACGACGGTACTTCGAATGTGTTTCCCACTCAGTTTTTTTTTGCGATTCGTTATTGCTTTATTTATTCATTCCGGTTCCCACCGGTGGTATATTTGAACAGGTACAGAGAAAGCGAGTTACAATAATACTATCGATTATTGTAAATAAACGGATCGTTAACTCAGCTGAGTGTGTTTGCCGTTATTCCCCTAGACTGGCATGTGCTAGGCGCTCACAAATGTATGTGTATGAATAGTAGTCGATTTGAGAACCAAACCGAGTCGAAACAGATCTGAGATGCACCGGCAGAATTTCACTAGCTCACAAGCGTTGCATGCTGGGCCGGGGCAGGCCGTTCCGGTCATAGTGATATTTTTTCTGTCATATTCACAGGCCTCGCTTCGCGCTTTGAACAACCTATTGAGCCCCGGGTGGTTACAATAGATTTATAAATGGACGGATTCTCTTTTGAATAGCAGTCCCTTATTTTCACTAAGCTCGATAGCTCAGGGGACATGGTAGCTCAAGCACGAAAGGGTCCGTTGCTCAAATGGTCTCGTTTCAGTTGGTTTGTTTTGGTTACGTATTTTCGGTCTAATGAGAGCTTTTCAGAGCGCAATAATGAAAATTGGGAGGACGACACTGGACAGTGGTATGTAGGGTCACTCTGGTGCACCGCCAGTGCTGGGGCCGATTCGATGGACAGGCGATCCAGCCCACCGCACCTGAGCCAATTCTCCTGAGAAGCTATTCACTACCTAGTATGTACAGCCCACCGCTAAAGTAATGTAGGGTTTTACCAATCTCAACGGTTGGCTTTGACTGGCGATTGTTTAATGCAGAGTGATCGAAAAGAAGATGTCAATAGCTAAAGTTGCAGCTGCAAGGGTGACGATACATATAAGCTACATTCAAAGTTTCATTGTAGTCTGGCTAATCGTTCCTAAGCTTCAGAAGCAGAACATACCCATGACTGAAACCCCACATTACTTCTGCTGTGGACTGTACCTACTCACGTCGGATGAAAGTGATCGCTCTACCAGACCAGGGATTTGAGCGGTGGAGGCAGTGGCGCGGAAACTTCTTCCAGACTGGGGGGGGGGGGGGGGTGAGTTATAATAGAGATCAACCTAAGGTACCCCCAAATCTAGTTTTCTCACCGGCTTTAGGCCACTTATTTTTCAGACCTTAGCCTTCTCAACGAAAAAAAAAAACGAAAATATTTGCGAAAAAGTGAGGTATTCCGTCTCGGCTGAGTGAAGGAACTACCGTTTCGGCAACCTGAAATAAAGGTTTTAATCTGCCAAATGAGTTGCCGAGACAGTGAAAGAGGTGGGTTTTTCACTTACATGCTTTCTTCCGTTATATTGTGACCCACGATCCCTAATTTGGGGAGGACAAGCTGCCCAACGGTTCCTGGCTAGATGAAAAGTTGCGGGGCACCGTCCCCACGGCCGCAGATTTGGGGGGCAAGCTTCTCACACTGCCCCCTCCCCCGGTTCCCGCGCCTATATGTATATGAATCTATGAAATTATGTTGGTAGATTTCCGACTTCGATTCTTCCAGCTGGTGGGGTTCAAATACATTACGAGCCTCCCCCCAGCCGAAAAGCTGGAGCTTAGCCCTCCCCCCCCCGGTTCCCGCGCCACTGGGTGGAGGAGAAGGATTTGACTGTCCTGAGAACGTAAAATGAGGGAACGGTGAGGGGCGGATGGTCCCAGCTAGCACCATATGGTCCACATGATCTTAGATGGTCCCAAATGGTTCAATAATAGCCCAGGTGGCTCCCCTGTAGCTCAGTTGACCTCTCTTATACGCTCAAGGGTTTCTCGGTAGCTCAGTGGCCCCCAATACTCTCACAAGCCCACTGATGATTTCAATTAGCATCTCGGTTCCTCAGGAAAGCTTGGAAGCTCAAAAGCCTCTTGGCAGCTCGAAATATCGTCGTTACAGAAAATACAGCTACAAGGCGTTAAAAAGTTGACTTTTTAACGTTGGCTCATGAGCTGCATGACACAAGTCTATGGTCGGCTCTATGGTCGTGGCTCTATATGGTCGTAGCCTCTTATACGGCCTTGGTCGTAGCCACGTGCAACAGCGACACCTATAGAAAGCACAGCCGCGCCACCTGTAGCGATGGAGAAATCGACGAGACTCGACGAGAAGTAGGTACCGTGTGTGCGCTTGGTGTCACGACACGATCAATAAGTAACTGACTATTGGAACTAGTAGATAGTTGCCGGTTGGTACAGCATCAGCTACATCTCATGCCAAAGGGTAAAGACAAAGGGTACACTACATACGTCAGCGCTGTTCGATCAATTTCCCATCATTTTTGACGTATTAGGATCATCTCGATGGTCATTAGTGAAACTGTACCTAAGTGGACATTTTTTAGTTACCTTACGTGCATTTTTTTGGCCTTCATGATTCATGAACCTAAGATCGGTTTCACAATCTCGCTGGCCAGTCTCTACAAAAATAAAAATTAAGAGAAGCTGATGATTTAAAGATGGTGCAAAAGTTCCTTACAAAAAAAAAATCGGGAATGATTCATCTTTCCTCCAGAGTGCCATTTGTGCCCATTTACGGAAGTTCTTCAGGCTCCTACTGCTCCATCAAAAGCCTATAACAGCAATGAGAGGCGGCGAGACACCCTCCACCCCCTCCCCCCATCGCTAGCAGATCAGCTAAGAACGACAGGCCTAGAGGACGAGAGGCACCGGGAATCGAACCCGGTTCCTCCCAAGTCCCAGCCCCAATACCTTACCCACTCCGGCGCCACTTTTTCGCAGGCAGGCTTCCGGTATGACAAATTTCCTTACACCGAACTCGGCTCTGAAGTGTAGTTCGCGGCGTGATTGGTCACTCCGATTGGTGACGTCATCTGTGTTTGAGTACGGCACCGTGTCAACTATACGACGTGTTATCGGCCTGAAGGCAACTGGGCGAGATAGCGGCCGGTTTAGTCAGGGCGATAGGTGAAAGACACACGTTCCAAGGTGGCCATGAGTGAGGAAGCGTGGCGATAGTGGTGCAAAGGAATAGAACACATATTTTAGTGATATTTTTGCCCTTTGTATTCCGTGGGCAGTGATTTTTTGTGGTTGGTGTCTGCGGCTAAGCCGCAACAGTTGTGACTGAGCTGAACAGACTGAGCTTAAGACATGGTCTAAGCTGGCTGATGCAAATTCGATTGGTGAGTATACAGTATACAGTATACACCTATATGAAAGCTGGTGATGCTTGCGATTGGCAGTAGCAATGCATGCCCCTATTCAGTGAAGCTTTTAGTTGTCTACCGTTGCATCTAAAAAGTTCGTTTGAAAAAGCTTTTTAGTTCTTTTTAGTTCAACAAAGTTTGGGAATGAAAACTGACAAGCATTTTCTTGACTTGACTTATCACTATCGCCTCAGCATGACAATTATTTCTGATGCATTTTTGCACATAATTCTGATTTTTTATTTAGCTACTCAAACTGTTCAGTCCGGCGTCTTTCAAATCAAACACATGGCAAAAAATAAAGATAGTATTGGCAGGCGGGCTAAAAACAAATCAGGCAGTTACATTCCGTTCTCAATATCACCGAAAAAATCCAACTCCCCTCTTCTTTTTACTGTTTCCGAAATTTTCACTTAATATTTTTCTCGTGCAGAGGCCTCTTGCACCAAAATCCTCTTGCACCAATGCTTGGATTATATTGCATCGTATACCCAGTCCAAGTCTCAAATGTAACAATTTGCGTGCAAAATCTAGCAAGCACATGTAGGATTATGTATTGGGCTATTGCAAACAAATTTACCACCGTTAGATTAGCTTATTCTGAAACCGGTTTTTTCGATTTTACCTAGCTAGGTAGTTTGGTGCAAGAGGCCTCAGGTCTCACTTCGAATAACCAAAAACTACCTCCACTGCGCCGCGTCTGTCCACAAACTATCAAGCTATTTTTATCAATTTCTGATGAATGTTTGTTGCGTGCTACATCGATCAAACAGATGCCAATCTTACCGAGCCATCAAGGTGGTAAAGAGGGCAGTAAAATGTCACACTAATTAAGAAGTTGAATAGCAAATAATTGCATCAGATTCTTCCTAGTAAGCAATCAACACAAAGTTCGAGTTCGGTGACCGTTCAATGACCTATGTCGCAAAATGCAGACTGGTAAAAGTGGCGAAGGGTTAAATGCGACTAAGAAGACCATAGTATGGTGTATCTGTGATAACTTCAAGACATATTTGGCATAAATGGGTCATAGGTTCTTACATTATCGCTTTGCTAGTTAGAATGATATGAAATTGAAACAAATAACTTATCTCATAAACCTCATAATACCTATCTCGAATTCACTGATAGTGTGCAAAAGAAGATATGTTCATATAGGAAATCGTGTTTAAAGTTTAAAAGATAAACATTGAACATACTGATTGATTTGTGCCATGCTAGAAAATGTATGTCGGATAGTTTCCATCACGAAAAAATGCACTTTCCTATAATGCATCATAAATAAAACGTAGTGTCAGTGTAAAACGTAACGTGCAGACTGCACAAGCATGTCAAGTTTTCAGGCCTTGTGAAGTGAAGCTCACAACTTTGTTACGCACTGTTCACTACATATTGCATACGCTTACTTATTTTCTTTCCTCCTTTCCAGATTGCATATTCTCACGACATTTGAGCCAGCTGCAATTTTTCACATAAATCTCCACTGCCATCACCACCAGTGGATGCATATTCACCGTCATCTCATCTCCGCGCAATCTCCGAGAGCTCTCATCTCGCAAACGCGCCACGTCCGCGCCAATAAATCGCGAACGCCTCGTGGCTAACTTCGTTCCAGCGCCGCCGTTCCGGAGGGTGTCGCAGTTCGCTCTCTGTCGCAGCGTCGACGTCGACCAGGCCAATCGATTTAGCTCCACGCTCAGAGCTAGGCCCGACGCCGGCCCGCAGAGGCGGCCGCAGTCGACCGCGCCCGGCCGGCAGTGCCTCAGGCGCTCCCGGGTCGCGGACAGTCTCGACGCGCGGACAGTCTCGAAGTTGCATCGGCGTCTGCAGACGGCTCGTTGCATTTGGAAGTGGATTCGCCGGAGAGCAATAGAAGCAAAGTGCATATCAATGGAATCGGCACGCGAGCAACGGCTTTGGTGAGAAAATACCTTACAGTGATTTCAGTGTAGTAAGCTTT